GGCTGATTTCACTGTGAAGAACAGCTCGAGGTGGTAGACAGGGTCAGCAGCATGGATCAGCGGATGGGAATCAGAACGCCCCTGAATATAAGCAGAGCATCACATAATAAAAACAATATGTACAATAATCTAACATGGGTCATTAACATGATTAATAAAAATGATGATAAAATATTCATGTTGGCAAATATTAAAACTGGAGCTTTGTGACCCGGGTAATAACAATAAAGGACCTTGAAGAAGGGGGAAAAAAAAATAATATGGGGGGAAAGAATAGAGAAGTAATGTAATAAAAAAATAATAAATTATATAAAAAAAAAGATAAATATGAGTCATGGGACATAATACTAAAGGGACTCAATGGCATGGTATTGTGTGGACCAAATAATGATAAAACGAGTATCGAAAAATAGATAAATATATGAGAATATATATATATATATATATATATATATATAGGAATGGTAGTGAAGCTACAGACGGAAGGAGTAACAACAGCAAGATATTAGCTGGAGAGAGCACAATAATCTGGCAGACAGGAAGTGTAAAGGCATGATGTAAATAGGAAGTTCATGGGAGGAGCAAAGGGTTCAAGGTTCAAGAGAAAGAAGACATAAGGCAAGGTTGTCTGAGGGATCAGGCAGGGAGCTGTCCAGCAGCCAATCAGAATATTGCTGGTGCCATGAAGGTCTCCTGAAGACCTGTCAGTATATCTGCTTGCCGTACAGGATGTATCGGATGTATGGGGTATGTGATGTATGGGGTGTAAGGGATGTACAGGGTGTACGGGGTGTATGGTATGTACAGGGTGTACGGGATGTACAGAGTTTACGGAATGTGCAGGATGTTCGGGGTGTATGGGATGTATAGGGTGTACGGGGTGTGCGGGATGTACAGGGTGTACGGGATGTACGGGGTGTACGGGATGTACAGGGTGTACGGGATGTACAGGGTGTATGGGATGTACAGGGTGTACGGGATGTACAGGGTGTATGGGATGTACGGGATGTACGGGGTGTACGGGATGTACGAGATGTACGGGGTGTACAGGATGTTCGGGATGTACAGGGTGTAGGGGATGTACGGGGTGTACGGAATGTACGGGGTGTACGACATGTACGGGATGTACAGGATGTTCGGGATGTACAGGGTGTACAGGATGTACGGGGTGTACAGGATGTACGGGGTGTACAGGATGTATAGGATTTACAGGATGTACGGGGTGTACGGGGGATGTACGGGGTGTATGGGATGTACAGGGTGTATGGGATGTACAGGGTGTATGGGATGTACAGGGTGTATGGGATGTACAGGGTGTACGGGATGTACGGGGTGTATGGGATGTACAGGGTGTATGGGATGTACGGGGTGTACAGGGTGTACGGGGGTGTATGGGGTGTACAAGGTGTACGGGGTGTACGGGGTGTATGGGGTGTACAAGGTGTACGGGATGTACAAGGTGTACGGGATGTACAAGGTGTACAGGGTGTACAAGGTGTACGGGGTGTACAGCTGTGTACACCTGTCAGATATACTGACAGGAAGATTTATTGAACTACCACGGCCCTCCAGAGCGCTGTGCTAGTTCATTGAGAACTACACGCCGACAGCTGCTAGGGTTGTTGAGACTTGTAGTTCATTCATTCGCAGATCATTGGAAATGAATGACACGGCCGTGTGGGCGGAGCCCCGCAAGGCTGCACTGTTTTCAAAAAGTGACAGCTTGTTCGGGAAACTTTTCCCCATACATGGATCACGGGGAGCGGCTACAGTATTGGGAACATGTTATATGTTCCACACTAAAGACGGGAGGTACATGTAACATGTTCCCAAAGGTGAACTTATCCTTTAAATTTCTCTAGTCCTCCTTTAACCGTTTCAGAGACCTCGAATTTACTGACAGCACCGCGATCCTTTCAGACTGAAAATGTCACAATGAAGAACGCTGTAAAAGGCAGAAGCAATTTTAATCCCCTTAAAAGAGGTCATTTTTATTTTTTTCCTTTTTAAAGCACAAAGAAATCACAAACAGAAAAGTATTTTTTCTTGCCTTCTCACTAAATAACGCACTTAAAAATGTTAAGAGAAGCAGAAACATTTATTGAAAGCCAGACTGATAAATCTAACCGGCGCTGCAAAGAAAAGAGCGGAATTTAATCAACTCCCGGGATTCTTCCAGATACTGGAGGGGGGGGGAGAGATAATAGGAGCGGGGTGATTGAAAACTACTTGTGTGTAAAGTACAGAAAGTGGCATCAAGGAAATTAGAGGCCCACCAATATGGAGGGACCACCTTTGTCTCCGCCGACAGGTGGGAGGTGTCAGAAAATGGAACTTTATATACAATAATAATTCACACATGTATTCTATATGCAGCCATCTGGGGAACCTAAAGGAGGACTCCACTGAGCAACGCTTGTATCCAAACCAGCAATATATCATCGTCCCAAATGTGTACTTTCACCCCTTCCAGTCCGGACACTTTCACCCCCTTCCAGTCCGGACACTTTCACCCCCTTCCAGTCTGGACACTTTCCCCCCTTCCAGTCCGGACACTTTCACCCCCTTCCAGTCCGGACGCTTTCCCCCCTTCCAGTCCGGACGCTTTCCCCCCCTTCCAGTCCGGACACTTTCCCCCCTTCCAGTCCGGACACTTTCACCCCCTTCCAGTCCGGACGCTTTTTCCCCCCCTTCCAGTCCGGACGCTTTCCCCCCCTTCCAGTCCGGACGCTTTCCCCCCCTTCCAGTCTGGACGCTTTCCCCCCCTTCCAGTCCGGACACTTTCCCCCCCCTTCCAGTCCGGACACTTTCCCCCTCTTCCAGTCCAGACACTTTCCCCCCCTTCCAGTCCGGACCCTTTCCCCCCCTTCCAGTCCGGACACTTTCCCCCCCTTCCAGTCCGGACACTTTCCCCCCTTCCAGTCCAGACACTTTCCCCCCCTTCCAGTCCAGACACTTTCCCCCCCTTCCAGTCCGGACACTTTCCCCCCCTTCCAGTCCGGACGCTTTCACCCCCTTCCAGTCCGGACGCTTTCCCCCCCCTTCCAGTCCGGACGCTTCCCCCCCCCCTTCCAGTCCGGACACTTTCACCCCCTTCCAGTCCGGACACTTTCACCCCCTTCCAGTCCAGACGCTTTCCCCCCCTTCCAGTCCGGACGCTTTCCCCCCTTCCAGTCCGGACGCTTTCCCCCCCTTCCAGTGCGGACGCTTTCCCCCCCCTTCCAGTCCGGACACTTCCCCCCCTTCCAGTCCAGACACTTTCCCCCCCTTCCAGTCCAGACACTTTCCCCCCCTTCCAGTCCAGACACTTTCCCCCCCTTCCAGTCCAGACACTTTCCCCCTCTTCCAGTCCAGGCACTTTCCCCCCCTTCCAGTCCGGACACTTTCCCCCCCTTCCAGTCCGGACACTTTCCCCCCCTTCCAGTCCGGACACTTTCCCCCCCTTCCAGTCCGGACACTTTCCCCCCCTTCCAGTCCGGACGCTTTCACCCCCTTCCAGTCCGGACGCTTTCACCCCCTTCCAGTCCGGACGCTTTCCTCCCCTTCCAGTCCGGACGCTTCCCCCCCCCTTCCAGTCCGGACACTTTTCCCCCTTTCAGTCCGGACACTTTCACCCCCTTCCAGTCCAGACACTTTCACCCCCTTCCAGTCCAGACACTTTCTCCCCCTTCCAGTCCGGACCCTTTCCCCCCCTTCCAGTACGGACACTTTCCCCCCCTTCCAGTACGGACACTTTCCCCCCCCTTCCAGTCCGGACACTTTCCCCCCCCTTCCAGTCCAGACACTTTCCCCCCCCCCCCTTCCAGTCCAGACACTTTCCCCCCCCTTCCAGTCCAGACACTTTCCCCCCCCCTTCCAGTCCAGACACTTCCCCCCCCCCTTCCAGTCCAGACACTTTCCCCCCTTCCAGTCCAGACACTTTCCCCCCCTTCCAGTCCGGACACTTTCACCCCCTTCCTGTCCAGGCCAATTTTCAGCTTCCAGCGCTGTCACACTTTGAATGACAATTGCGCGGTCATGCAACACTGTACCCAGATGAATTTTTTAGCATTTTTTGAGACAGATAAAGCTTTATTTTGGTGGTATTTATTCACCGCTGGGATTTTTATTTTTTTGCTATATAAATGAAAAAGTCCAAAAATGTTGAAAAAAAGTTGCTGATCTCTAGCTCCCCGTGCCCTCTTCCTGTTTCCTGTGATTCTGACTTGTGATTTCCTGTTACTGACTCGGCTTGCTCCTGGACCTGTCTACTCTGCTTACCCCTGATCTGACCTCAGCTTGGCTTACTGATACTCTCTCTCTCTCTCCTCTGTGTATGACCTCGGCTATCCCATCTGACTACGTCCGCTCTGATTCCCACCCGGTACCTGACCTTGGCTCACACGACTACCCAGTAAACACCTAAATCCCGGAAGGGCTTGCATACCACGCACAGGCGCCTCCTGTCTGCAGACCTATCTCCGTGCACCAGCTGTGCTTCTGAGTGGACCACCAACCAGCACTCCTACAGGCGACCTGTGGAACTTTGGGCCTGACTCCCGCTGTCCCACTCTCAGGGGAGTCCGAAACTCCATTGGCCTCCACCACCAGGTACGTGATAGGTAACTTTTGCCACACAAACTCGTGGCTGCAACATGCATACAGCCATGAGTGTTCAAGCAAGTGAACAGAGGCAATAAAACTGCAGCTTAACCCCCTGTTTTTCCCGCCCCTCGGTGCACATGTGAACGAGCCCTAACTATCATACGTGTTTGGAGTGATTTACGAATACTGGAGCACACAGAATCTGGTGCAGCTTTGCATAGAAACCAATCAGCTTCCTTGTTTTATTGTCAAAGCATATATTTAGAAGATGAAGGTGGAAGCTGATTGGCCGCCAGGCACGACTGCACCAGATTCTGAGCGCTCCAGTTTCAGTAAATCAACCTGATGTTTTCTTATTCATTCAGCATAAATATAAAGTCTCCGAACTCATAAAACAGAGGATATGACATATTTTATGGTACCTTGCTGCCGACCCCGCTAGGCACAGTGAAGACGTACTCCAGCAGGAAGACGATGGCGAATCTGGGGTCATCGACCATTTCAGGCAGGCGTATGCGACTCCTCAATACCAGAGCGGAAGAACTGCGAGAAGACAAAGATCGTGTTATGTCACATTCACTACACATCAGCCGCAGTTCATCCGCACCTCCTATCAAAGCTCAGTCAGGTTTAAAGCTGTTACCTATCATGGGAAAGGAAAGGAAGAGACGCTATTCTGTGCCTGCCAGGCTCTTCATTTTCTGGCATTTTTCTTCTTCTTTTCCAGTAAGTCATCGTGTTTAAAAACCAAGAAATATAATCAGGTTTCAGTTTTCTTTATTCGATGAAACATAAAAGGAATTTACAGCCCAACTGAGCTTAAAGTGTTACTAAACCCCGGACCCCGCATTCTCTGTATCCGCTCTCCTTGGACCCCGCATTCACTGTAACCGCTCTCCCCGGACCCCGCATTCACTGTAACCGCTCTCCCCGGACCCCGCATTCACTGTAACCGCTCTCCCCGGACCCCGCATTCACTGTAACCGCTCTCCCCGGACCCCCGCATTCACTGTATCCGCTCTCCCCGGACCCCGCATTCACTGTATCCGCTCTCCTTGGACCCCGCATTCACTATATCCGCTCTCCCGGGACCTCGCATTCACTATATCCGCTCTCCCCGGATCCCGCATTCACTATATCCGCTCTCCCCGGACCCCGCATTCACTATATCCGCTCTCCCCGGACCCCGCATTCACTATATCCGCTCTCCCCGGACCCCGCATTCACTATATCCGCTCTCCCCGGATCCCGCATTCACTATATCCGCTCTCCCCGGACCCCGCATTCACTATATCCGCTCTCCCCGGACCCCGCATTCACTATATCCGCTCTCCCCGGACCCCGCATTCACTATATCCGCTCTCCCCCGGACCCCGCATTCACTATATCCGCTCTCCCCGGATCCCGCATTCACTATATCCGCTCTCCCCGGACCCCGCATTCACTATATCCGCTCTCCCCGGACCCCGCATTCACTATATCCGCTCTCCCCGGACCCCGCATTCACTATATCCGCTCTCCCCGGACCCCGCATTCACTATATCCGCATTCTCCCCGGACCCCGCATTCACTATATCCGCTCTCGCCGGACCCCGCATTCACTATATCCGCTCTCGCCGGACCCCGCATTCACTATATTCGCTCCCCCGGACCCCGCATTCACTATATGCGCTCTCCCCGGACCCCGCATTCACTGTATCCGCTCTCCCCGGACCCCGCATTCACTATATCCGCTCTCCTGGGACCCCGCATTCACTATATCCGCTCTCCCCGGACCCCGCATTCACTATATCCGCTTTCCCAGGACCCCGCATTCACAATATTTGCTCTCCACGGACCCTGCATTCACTATATCCGCTCTCCCCGGACCCCGCATTCACTATATCCGCTCTCCCCGGACCCCGCATTCACTATATCCGCTCTCCCCGGATCCCGCATTCACTATATCCGCTCTCCCCGGACCCCGCATTCACTATATCCGCTCTCCCCGGACCCCGCATTCACTATATCCGCTCTCCCCGGACCCCGCATTCACTATATCCGCTCTCCCCGGACCCCGCATTCACTATATCCGCTCTCCCCGGATCCCGCATTCACTATATCCGCTCTCCCCGGACCCCGCATTCACTATATCCGCTCTCCCCGGACCCCGCATTCACTATATCCGCTCTCCCCGGACCCCGCATTCACTATATCCGCTCTCCCCGGACCCCGCATTCACTATATCCGCTCTCCCCGGACCCCGCATTCACTATATCCGCTCTCCCCGGACCCCGCATTCACTATATCCGCTCTCCCCGGACCCCGCATTTACTATATCCTCTCTCCCCGGACCCCGCATTCACTATATCCGCTCTCCCCGGACCCCGCATTCACTATATCCGCTCTCCCCGGACCCCGCATTCCCTGTATCCGCTCTCCCCGGACCCCGCATTAAGTATATCCGCTCTCCCTGGACCCCGCATTCACTATATCCGCTCTCCCCGGACCCCGCATTCACTATATCCGCTCTCCCCGGACCCCGCATTCACTATATCCGCTCTACCCGGACCCTGCATTCACTATATCTGCTCTCCCCAGACCCGGCATTCACTATATCCGCTCTCCCCGGACCCCGCATTCACTATATCCGCTCTCCCCGGACCCCGCATTCACTGTATCCGCTCTCCCCGGACCCCGCATTCAGTATATCCGCTCTCCCGGGACCCCCGCATTCACTATATCCGCTCTCCCCGGACCCCACAATTTACTATATCCGCTCTCCCCGGACCCCGCATTCACTATATCCGCTCTCCCCGGACCCCGCATTCACTATATCCGCTCTCCCCGGACCCCACAATTTACTATATCCACTCTCCCCAGACCCTGCATTCACTATATCCGCTCTCTCCAGACCCTGCATTCACTATATCCGCTCTCTCCAGACCCTGCATTCACTATATCCGCTCTATTTTTTACTGTACCTGGAGTTTCACTTTAATGGATATTGTTATGGGAGTCACTTTGGGTGGGGGGCCCATGGAACACAGCTCACTTTGGAGAGGTGGGGAGACCCCTGTCTCAGCTCCCCATAACCCTCTGATGTGTAAGTCACCCTGTGCCTGTTAGGAGTACAGGGTGATCTGTCCTAATATTGGGGTGGGGGGTTGTTGATTGTTTGATGTTATGTGGTTGCATCCCATTGTTCTATTGTGTGTCTTGCTTGGGAGCAAACTATTATGGGATGTATGTGTTTATGTGTATTGGCTTGGTGGGGGGATGTCTCCAGCAGCCCTCCCTCCTGATGGGACTGTCTGTTGGTGTGTCTCTTGTTACTAAATGTAGATTGCCCCGCCCTGTGTCATTATGCAGGGAGGGGGGATTGTCCCCTGAGTGTATATATTTTGTATCTGTGTTAAAATAAACTAGTCTACTTCCTGGTTTACTTCAAGCCTGGTGTCATCTAGTCTTGTATGGTCGGCTGTGGTGTCTGTTGTCGGTGTTCAGACGGGGAAGCGGTAGTCTGACGGAAGTACCCAATCGCAGTCTGGGGTCGGTTCTGTTACAGATATTCTGCCTCAATGCAAAGATGAAAACTGTAAAGGAGCAGGTTTAGCAGTCTACAGTTCTCCTCAATAGACGTTTCACACAGAGCCGGCGCTATGCTTCATATCTAGGTAAAGGTGACTATAATTTCACTCCAGAAATTCAGATATGTCCCGTGTGCTCATTTCATTTATTTTGATAAAATCAAACATTTCGGCAGGCATGTTTCTGACAATATATCAGATTTCTCAGCTCATAGATCAGACAAAGAGTGATAGGACATACCTTAGTGTCTGAGCGCTGGCCTGTCTCTTCCTCAGGCTAGTGGCAGAATTTGCCTTCACAGCTCTGCTCTCCGGTGTTACCACCACAACCTGAGGCGGCTGCACAAAACACCAACCGTTGTGGACACCAATGTGTAGTCTCCGCTCTTGGATCGAAACAGGAGTCCCACCGGCAATGAGAATTCCCTGGAAAGCAGAACAAGAGGCAGAGGGACATGCAGGATATATGAGTGTGAGACCAGACATGGAGGAAGAGTGGGAGAGAAAGAATGAGAGACAGAGAGAGACATGGAGGAAGAGGGAGGGAGAGAGAGATAAAGAGGATGGGGGAGAGAGGAAAAAAATGAGAGAGAGAGACATGGAAGAAGAGGAGAGACGTACATGGAGGAAAAGTGAGAAAGAGAGAATAAGAAAGAGGGAGAGAGAGAGATGGGAGATGAAACAGACATGGAGGGGGAGAGAGAGACATGGAGGATGAGAGAGAGACATGGAGGAAACAAGAGAAAGATATGGAGGAAGCGAGAGAGAGACATGAAAGAAGAGAGAGAGACATGGAGGAAGCAAGAGAAAGACATGGAGGAAGCGAGAGAGAGACATGGAAGAAGCAAGAGAGAAACATGGAGGAAGTGAGAGAGAGACATGGAAGAAGAGAAAGAGAGAGACATGGAAGAATAGGAGAGACATACATGGAGGAAAAGTGACAAAGAGAGAATGAGAGGGAAAGAAAGAGATGGAGGAAGCAGTAAGAAGTAAGAGGAAGGGAAAGAAAAAAGATAAATAGGATGGTAGAGAGGAAAAGAGAGAGAGAGAGCAAGAAACATTGAGGAAGTGAGAGAGAGAGACATGAAGGAAACAAGAAACAGACATGGAGGAAGCAAGAAGAGAGAGACATGAAAGAAGACAGAGAGAGACATGGAGGAAGCAAGAGAGAGAAATACACATGGAGGAAGCAAGAGAGAGACATGGAGGAAGCAAGAGAGAGAAACATGGAGGAAGTGAGAGAGACACATGGAAGAAGAGAAAGAGAGAGACATGGAAGAAGAGGAGAGACATACATGGAGGAAAAGTGACAAAGAGAGAATGAGAGGGAAAGAAAGAGATGGAGGAAGCAGTAAGAAGTAAGAGGAAGGGAAAGAAAAAGATAAATAGGACGGTAGAGAGGAAAAGAGAAAGAGAGAGCAAGAAACATGGAGGAAGCAAGAGAGAGACATGAAAGAAGACAGAGAGAGACATGGAGGAAGCAAGAGAGAGAGAGACATGGAGGAAGCAAGAGAGAGAGAGACATGGAGGAAGCAAGAGAGAGAGAGCCATGGAGGAAGCAAGAGAGAGAAACATGGAGGAAGCGAGAGAGAGACATGGAAGAAGAGAGAGAGAGAGACAAGGAAGAAGAGAGAGAGAGAGAGACATGGAAGAAGAGAGAGAGACATGGAGGAAGCAAGAGAGAAACATGGAGGAAGTGAGAGAGAGACAAGGAAGAAAAGAAAGAGAGAGACAGGAAGAAGCGATAGAAGAGAGACATAGAAGAAAGAGGAGAGAATACATGGAGGAAAAGTTACAAAGAGAGAATGAGAGGGAAAGAAAGAGATGGCAGATGAGAGAAGACACAGAGGCAGAGATAGAGAAGAATGAAGGATGAGAGAGAGAGAGAGACAAAAAGAAGAGTGAGAGAGAGATAAAAAAGGAAAGAGAGAGAGAGAGAGAGAGAGAGAGAGAGAGACATAGAGGAAAAGTGAGGGGGGGGAAGAGAGAAATAAAAAGGATGGGAGAGAGAAAAAAGAAAGAGAGAGCGAGAGATGTGGAAGAAGAGTGAGAAAAAAATGGAGGAAAAGAAGACAGAGACATGGAAGAAAGGAAGAGAGAAACATGGAAGAAAGAGAGACATACATGGAAAAAATATGAAAATGAGAGGGAGAGAGAGAGACATGGATGGAGAATGATAGACATGGAAAAGAGAGAGAGAGACATGGAGGATGAGAGAGAGAGACATCGTGGATGAGAAAGAGACATGGGAGGATGAGAGAGAAAGACAAGGAGGAAGACAGAGAGACAAGCAGGAAGAGAAAGAAAAGAGAGACAGAGAGAAAAAAGAGACAGAGAGAGAAGAGAGAGAGACATAAAGGATGAAAGAGAGACAAGAATGAAGTGAGAGAGAGACATGGAGGACGTGAGAGACAAGAAAAAAGAAGAGAGAGACATGGGGGAAAAAAGAGAGAGAGACATGGAGGAAAAAAGAGAGAGATATGGAGGAAATAGGAGAGAGAGTGACATGGAGAAAGAGAAAAAACTGTCAATTAAGTGAGAAAGAGAAAAATAGAGGGAGTGAGCGAGAGAAATTGAGGAAAAGAGGGAGAAACATGGAGAAAAAAGAGAGAAAAAGAAAAAAAAAAGAATGGGACATGAATGAAGTGGGAGAAAGACATGGAAGAAGAAAAGAAAAAACAACAGACATGAAAAAAAGAGAAAAAAGAGATAAAGGAAGAATGAGAGACAAAAGAAGAAAGATAGAATGAAGGAAGAATGAGAAAGAAAGAGACATGGGGAATGTGAGTGGGAGAGAGACAGGGAGAAAAATTTAGAGAATGAAAGGAGAAAAGAGACATGAAGGAGTGAGAGATGAGGAAGTATAAATGAAGTGAGAGAGAAGACAGAGGAAGAATAAAAGGGAGAAGACATGGAGAATGTGAAAAGAGAGAGAGAGATAGAGGACGAATGAAAAAGAGACATAGAGAATGTGAAAGAGAGAGAGAGGCACAGAGGAAGAATGAAAGGGAGAGACATAGAGAATGTGAAAGAGGAGAGAGAGACAAAGGAAGAATGAAAGGGAGAGACATAGAGAATGTGAAAGAGGGAGAGAGACACAGAGGAAGAATGAAAGGGAGAGACATAGAGAATGTGAAAGAGGGAGAGACACAGAGGAAGAATGAAAGGGAGAGACATAGAGAATGTGAAAGAGAGAGAGAGACAAAGGAAGAATGAAAGGGAGAGACATAGAGAATGTGAAAGAGGGGAGAGAGACAAAGGAAGAATGAAAGGGAGAGACATAGAGAATGTGAAAGAGGGAGAGAGACAAAGGAAGAATGAAAGGGAGAGACATAGAGAATGTGAAAGAGGGAGAGAGACAAAGGAAGAATGAAAGGGAGAGACATAGAGAATGTGAAACAGGGAGAGAGACAAAGGAAGAATGAAAGGGAGAGACATAGAGAATGTGAAACAGGAAGAGAGACATGGAGGAAGAATGAAAGGGAGAGACATAGAGAATGTGAAACAGGAAGAGAGACATGGAGGAAGAATGAAAGGGAGAGAGACATAGAGAATGTGAAAGAGAGAGAGAGAGACACAAAGAATGTGAAACAGAGAGAGACACAGAGGAAGAATGAAAGGGAGAGGCATAGAGAATGTGAAAGAGAGACCGAGACATGGAAGAATAGCGAGGGGCAGAAAGAAAGGGGGGGGGGGGGGGAAGGACAGACGCAAAGAGAAAAGAAAGAGAAGAAGATGAGAGAAGCAGATGAGAGAAGAATAAGAGAGAAGAGGAAGAGAGAAGAAGATGAGAGAAGAAGAAGAAGAAAGGAGAAGATGAGAGAAGATGAGAGAAGAAGAAGAGAAAAGAAGATGAGAGAAGAAGAAAAAAGAAGAAGGTGAGAGAAGAAGATGAGAGAAGAAGAAGAGAGAAGAAGCAGAGAGGAGAAGAAGAAGAGAGATGAAGAAGAGAGAGAAGAAGATGAGAGAAGATGATGAGAGAAGAAGATGAGAGAAGAAGATGAGAGAAGAAGATGAGAGAAGAAGAAGAGAGATGAAGAAGAGAGATGAAGAAGAGAGATGAAGAAGAGAGAAGATGAGAGAAGATGATGAGAGAGAAGAAGAAGAGAGATGAGAGAGAAGAAGATGAGAGAAGAAGAAGAGAGATGAAGATGATGAGAAAAGATGATGAGAGAGAAGAAGAAGAGAGAAGAAGAAGAGAGATGAAGATGAAGAGAGAAGAAGAAGAGAGAAGAAGAGAGAAGAAGATGATGAGAGAAGAAGATGAGAGAGAAGAAGAAGAGAGATGAAGATGAAGAGAAAAGATGATGAGAGAAGAAGAGAGAGAGAAGAAGAAGAGAGATGAAGATGAAGAGAGAAGAAGAAGAGAGAAGAAGAAGAGAGAAGAAGAGAGAGAGAAGAAGATGATGAGAGAAGAAGATGAGAGAAGAAGAAGAGAGATGAAGATGAAGAGAGAAGAAGAAGAGAAGAGAAGAAGAAGAAGAGAAGAAGAAAAGAGAGAAGAAGAAGAGAGAAGAAGAGAGAAGAAGATGATGAGAGAAGAAGCGGAGAGAAATGTGTTAACCATCCGCCACAACACCTGTGTGTAATATACAGTACAGCAGCCAGGCAAGTAGCATTGTGAAGAGGGATCAGCAATGGAAACCCGGCCTCTTTCCCACCACAGGATCCTTAACCTTTTCCTACCCAAATTTTGAATTTCACTTAACTACTTTGTATAAAAAAATAAAAAAGGAAAACCCGCACAGCTCTGCCAAAAAGCTCAGTGAGACAGAACGCTGTCCCTGGATTGGTTTTTCTCTGTAAGATGCTATAGAAACAGCTTTGGCTGAGGTTCAGGCGGACTTGTGCAATCAGCTCACGTACACCATCAGTCTACATATGTTCATGTCTGATTTTAACATCAGATAAAGTTAAGCCTGGACAAAAATACCGTCTTTTTTTTATTTACAAAGTGAGCGCCGCCAGCAAAGGAATACAAAAACTAATAATAAAACATATACGGTATAGAAGTGATTACACAGGGCATGTACTCTGCATGAATACAAATACCGATTTTCAGACATGTTCATAACAGAGGTTCCTGGTGGACATACAACCTATGGCGGGTGATGACCCAGGACAAGGAGGTCCTTCAGAGGGGACAGAGGAGCCACATGGAGACCAGCACTGGAGAACCCTCCTTTCCACCATTTACCCTTTTGGACCTTTCTTAGAGGGAGTAGCCCCCAGTAACGGTGTTATGTGTTCAAAGAAATATGGTGGTGGGTGATTTGGTCTAGTGCCCTTTTGTCTGACCTGTGGCCCTTTGGCACTTTTGCCCCCAAGGTCCCTGCAGACTCTCATCTGTGTTTCCCTATTGCCCTTTTACAGTAGTGATTTGTATCAGTCCCATGTAAAATGTCTCCTGCAGCATGTCCACAGTCTCTGACCATCTCTTCTAGCATGTCTGCATTCTCTGACCATCTCTTGCATCATGTCTACAGTCTCTGACCATCTCTTGCATCATGTCTACAGTCTCTGACCATCGCTTGCATCATGTCTGCAGTCTCTGGCCATTGCTTGTATCTTGTCTGCAGCCTCTGACCATCTCTTGTATCATGTCTGCAGTCTCTGACCATCTCTTGTATGATGTCCGCAGTCTCTGACCATCTCTTGTATCATGTCCGCAGTCTCTAACCATCTCTTGTATCATGTCCGCAGTCTCTGACCATCTCTTGTATCATGTCTGCAGTCTCTGACCATCTATTGTGCTATGTCTGCAGTCTCTAACCATCTCTTGTATAATGTCTGATGTCTCTGACCATCTCTTGTATCAGGTCTGCAGCCTTTGACCATTTCTTGTATCAGGTCCACCGTCTGGTCATCTCTTGTGTCATGTCTGCAGTCTCTGACCATCTATTGTATCATGTCTGCAGTCTCTGACCATCTATTGTGCTATGTCTGCAGTCTCTAACCATCTCTTGTATAATGTCTGATGTCTCTGACCATCTCTTGTATCAGGTCTGCAGCCTTTGACCATTTCTTGTATCAGGTCCACCGTCTGGGCATCTCTTGTGTCATGTCTGCAGTCTCTGACCAACTCCTGTATCATGCCTGCAGTCTTTGACCATCTCTTGTATCATGTCTGCAGTCTCTGACCATCGCTTGTATCATGTCTGCAGTCTCTGATCATCTCTTTTATCATGTCTGCAGTCTCTAACCATCTCTTGTATCATGTCCGCAGTCTCTGACCATCTCCTGTACCATGTCTGCAGTCTCTGACCATCTCCTGTATCATGTCTGCAGTCTCTGACCATCTCCTGTATCATGTCTGCAGTCTCTGACCATCTCCTGTATCATGTCTGCAGTCTCTGACCATCTCCTGTATCATGTCCACAGTCTCTGACCATCTCCTGTATCATGTCTGCAGTCTCTGATCATCTCCTGTACCATGCCCATATAGTCATTGAATTTATCTTGGTGTGTGTCTGCTACCTCTGATATTGAATATTCACTGAATTTTATGTGCAACCCTTTGGTAATTTTGGGGGGCCTCACTCGACGCCCCTCATATAAAAAAAAGATGACCACCACAGGCCTAGAAGGTACAGGTCTGTGATGGCCAATCGGGATTCAGGAAAGGTGGTAACAACTGATGGTTATTACGATAAAATCATGGAGGAGAAGCGGGCATGTATAAAACAGACTCCTCCCATAATCACATAAACGGCCCCTCCCCTTACCTTCGGCAAGCGATCGCTATTGACAAGGACAAGCAATTCTTCTTCAAACTTCTCCAGTGAAGGATACATCATTAGATGGAGTTGGTCTAAGTGACAAGTGACTGTTTTCTGGAGGTGCGGTTTCTTCAAGGCATCTCCTACAGAAGAATACAAAATAAAAAAGCTAATATTCAATCACAGCTCCAGAGAAACAGATAGAAAATACATCTCTGCGATCTTTTACCAACCAATTATTTATTTATTACAGGTACTTACTGTATATAATGCTGTCAATGTACGCAGCGCTTTACATATATATTGTACATTCACATCAGTCCCCGCCCCCCGAGGAGCGTACAGTCTAAGGTCCCTAACCCTCAAGTTACGTACAATCTAAGGTCCCTAACCCTCAAGGGACGTACAATCTAAGGTCCCTAACCCTCAAGGGGCGTACAATCTAAGGTCCCTAACCCTCAAGGGGCGTACAATCTAAGGTCCCTAACCCTCAAGGAGTGTACAATCTAAGGTCCCTAATCCTCAAGGGACGTACAATCTAAGGTCCCTAACCCTCAAGGGGCGTACAATCTAAGGTCCCTAACCCTCAAGGGGTGTACAATCTAAGGTCCCTAACCCTCAAGGAGTGTACAATCTAAGGTCCCTAATCCTCAAGGGGCGTACAATCTAAAGTCCCTAACCCTCAAGGGGTGTACAATCTAAGGTCCCTAACCCTCAAGGGGCGTACAATCTAAGGTCCCTAACCCTCAAGGGGCGTACAATCCAAGGTCCCTAACCCTCAAGGGGCATACAATCTAAAGTCCCTAACCCTCAAGGAACGTACAATCTACGGTCCCTAACCCTCAAGGGGTGTACAATCTAAGGTCCCTAACCCTCAAGGGGTGTACAATCTAAGGTCCCTAACCCTCAAGGGGCATACAATCTAAAGTCCCTAACCCTCAAGGGGCGTACAATCTAAGGTCCCTAACCCTCAAGGGGTGTACAATCTAAGGTCCCTAACCCTCAAGGGACGTACAATCTAAGGTCCCTAACCCTCAAGGGGCGTACAATCTACGGTCCCTAACCCTCAAGGGACGTACAATCTAAGGTCCCTAACCCTCAAGGGGTGTACAATCTAAGGTCCCTAACCCTCAAGGGACGTACAATCTAAGGTCCCTAACCCTCAAGGGGCGTACAATCTAAGGTCCCTAACCCTCAAGGGGCGTGCAATCTAAGGTCCCTAACCCTCAAGGGGCGTGCAATCTAAGGTCCCTAACCCTCAAGGGGCGTACAATCTAAGGTCCCTAACTCACATGCATACATACAAATCCTAGGGCCAGGTAGACAGGAGCCAATTCACCTCCCAGCATGTCTTTGGAGTGTGGAAGGAAACCAGAGCACCCGGAGGAAACCCACGTAGGCACAGGGAGAACATGCAAACTCCAGGCAGGTGGTGCCGTGGTTGGGATTCGAACCAACATCCATAGTGCTGGCAGGCAGAAGTGCTAACCACTAAGCCAAATACTTGAAAAATGAGTTCAATTCTTTTGATTCGAACATCTCCCCTACACTGTATCGGCAGAAGATTGACACTACTATGCTATATTAAAGCAAACAGGCTCCACCCACTACAGGCTGCCTGCAGAAAACTACAGGAGGGGGCGGAGACAAGACCAGTCACCCCACACAAGGAGAGAGCGGAGCTGTAGGAGGGGCCCAGCATGCTACACCCACTAAAAGATGCCTGCAGAAAACCATATGAGGGGGCGGAGACAAGGCCAGTCACCCTGCACAAGGAGAGAGAGCAGAGATGTAGGAGGGGCAGGGCAGGCTCCACCCACTACAGGATGCCTGCAGAAAACTACAGGAGAGGGTGGAGACAAGACCAGTCACCTTGCACAAGGAGAGAGCAGAGCTGTAGGAGGGGCCCAACAGGCTCCACCCACTACAGGATGCCTGCAATAAACTACAGGAGGAGGCAGAGACAAGACCAGTTCCCCTGTACAGGAGAGAGTAGAGCTGTAGGAGGGGCCCAGCAGGCTCCACCCACTACAGGCTGCCTGCAGAAAACTACAGGAGGGGGCGGAGACAAGACCAGTCAACCTGCACCAGCAGAGAGAGCAGAGTTGTAGGAGGGGCCCAGCAGGCTCCACCCACTACAGGTTGCCTGCAGAAAACTACAGGGGGGGGGGGGAGGGTGGTGAAGACAAGACCAATCACCCTGTACAAGGAGAGAGCAGAGCTGTAGGGCCCAGCAGGCTCCACCCACTACAGGCTGCATGCACAAAAATGCAGGAGGGGGTGGAGACAAGACCAGTCACCCTGCACAAGGAGAGAGCAGAGCTGTAGGAGGGGCTCAACAGGCTCCACCCACTATAGACTGCCTGCAGAAAACTACAGGAGGGGACAGAGACAAGACCAGTCACCTTGTACAAGGAGAGCAGAGCTGTAGGAGGTGCCCAGCCAGCTCCACCCACTACAGGCTGCCTGTAGAAAACTACAGGAGGGGGCGGAGACAAGACCAGTCACCCCACACAAGGAGAGAGAGAGCAGAGCTATAGGAGGGGCCCAGCAGGCTCCACCCACTACAGGTTGCCTGCAAAAAAATACAGGAGGGGCGGAGACAAGACCAGTCACCCCACAAAAGGAGAGAACAGAGCTGTAGGAGGGGCCCAGCAGGCTCCACCCACTACAGGCTTTCAGCAGAAAACTACAGGAGTGGGCGGAGACAAGACCAGTCACACTGCACAAGGAGAGAAAGTGGCAGTGAGCGGTCTTTATTCCAGGACAGATGACGCCCCTGCACAGAGACGATGTATAGGAGAAGTTGTATAATGGAATACTGCACAGATCTGGAAGAAATGCACATGGGATGCCGAGACGTAGAGCGTTCGGTCACCTTTATACAAAATACTCGTTGCAGTCCACAAGCAATATTCCATCATTTTAAACCAACCTGATTAAAAAAAAAAATCCATTTTTCACAGCTCTGTCCGTTCCTCCCTTCACCCCCCACAAGTAGTACAGTGTCACCATGGTGACACTACTGCTAGGGTGACGGTATGTTAAAAAAAAAAAAAAAAAACATAAATAATATAAAAAAATAAAATAAAAATGTAAAAAAAAATTTAAAAATTATAATTTTTGGTTATAAACTAATTTGGGTAATTTTTTCTTTTTATTAAAAAGATAACTGAATACATTTTGGCCGAGATTTATGAAGAAAGTTTATTTATTTGCAAAATGTTATAAGAAAAACACTTTTTTTCAAAACGTTTGGACTTCATTTATATAGCAAAAAAATAAAAATCGCAGCGGTGAATAAATACCACCAAAATAAAGTTTTATCTGTCTCAAAAAAATGCTAAACAATTTATATGGGTACAGTGTTGCATGACCGCGCAATTGTCATTCAAATTGTGATAGCGCTGAAAGCTGAAAATTGGCCTGGGGGGGAAGGGGGGAAAGTGTCCGGATTGAAAGGGGGGAAAGTGTTGGGACTGGAAGGGGGGGTGAAAGTGTCGGGACTGGAAGGGGGTGAAAGTGTCGGGACTGGAAGGGGGTGAAAGTGTCCGGTCTGGAAGGGGGGTGAAAGTGTCCGGACTGGAAGGGGGGGTGAAAGTGTCTGGACTGGAAGGGGGGGTGAAAGTGTCGGGACTGGAAGGGGGTGAAAGTGTCCTGACTGGAAGGGGGGGAAAGTGTCCGGACTGGAAGGGGGGGAAAGTGTCTGGACTGGAAGGGGGGGAAGTGTCCGGACTGGAAGGGGGTGAAAGTGTCCGGACTGGAAGGGGGTGAAAGTGTCCGGACTGGAAGGGGGGGGGAAAGTGTCCGGACTGGAGGGGGGGGTGAAAGTGTCGGGACTGGAAGGGGGGGAAAGTGTTGGGACTGGAAGGGGGGTGAAAGTGTCCTGACTGGAAGGGGGTGAAAGTGTCGGGACTGGAAGGGGGGTGAAAGTGTCGGGACTGGAAGGGGGTGAAAGTGTCTGGTCTGGAAGGGGGGGTGAAAGTGTCCGGACTGGAAGGGGGGGTGAAAGTGTCTGGACTGGAAGGGGGGGTGAAAGTGTCGGGACTGGAAGGGGGTGAAAGTGTCCGGACTGGAAGGGAGGGAAAGTGTCCGGACTGGAAGGGAGGGAAAGTGTCCGGACTGGAAGGGGGGGTGAAAGTGTCTGGACTGGAAGGGGGGGGTGAAAGTGTCGGGACTGGAAGGGGGTGAAAGTGTCCGGACTGGAAGGGGGTGAAAGTGTCTGGACTGGAAGGGGGGAAAGTGTCCGGACTGGAAGGGGGGGAAAGTGTCCAGACTGGAAGGGGGGGGAAAGTGTCCGGACTGGAGGGGGGGGGAAAGTGTCCGGACTAGGGGGTGAAAGTGTCCGGACTGGAAGGGGGGGGAAAGTGTCCGGACAGGAAGGGGGGGAAGTGTCTGGACTGGAAGGGGGTGAAAGTGTCCGGACTGGAAGGGGGGGAAAGTGTCCGGACTGGAAGGGGGGGAAAGTGTCCGGATCTGAAGTGGTTAAAGGTGAGCTAACTCTTTCAGCCAGACCCCTCACCCCCCTTCCTTCAGACAAGGTTTGCTCAGCCCGGAGTTTACCTTTAAGTCACTATAGAAGTGGTGGCTGCGTAATAAGACTTATAAAGGACGACTCCGCGGCAGCGAGCGTGCTAATCGAGTATTTGTTGTTCGGTTGGCTCGTAAAATTTCTAATAAACCTGTCCATGTAAAGGAATTAATGACGTTGTATTGTAAATGTGTCTGTGGAGGATTGGACGTGGATATACTGTACGGTGTTGGCGTTGTTCTCTGTATCTCAGCGGAGACGAAAGTGCTGAAATATGAAGGGCCTAAGCAGCTGCGCTCGGCTCCCGATTATTCATCTATATTCCCTCTCCACTTGTTTAACAATAGAAATCGCATAAATGGCTTGTGTTCCTCCATTGCCGCCTTCAAGTGCTTCCATGCACCGCTACGTCTTGGAGGGGGGGGGGGGGGGTGTGTGCCAGGAAATTAGCGAGAGAGAAATTCAAGTGGAAATACAGAACGTTCCTCAGCTTCTCTGAAAACAGCCCTTAGGTCAGAGTCATCTCCCATTATTAATGCTGTAAGGGCATTGGGTGTCACATGGGGCCACCTCGGGCCCCCCCTGATCGTGAAAGCCCAACAAGGTAGAGCTGACCTGTGTGTGGTCAATGGTGACAATCTCAGCTTTGCTATAAAATAATACCCCAGACAATGGTTTCCTCTGTTATTTTAATGGTGGAATTGAAAATGCTCTAGATTAGGGGTCCCAGACCTTACCGTATGAGGGCCACATTGTATATTTAGCAAATTATTATGGGATTAAATGAAAAAAAAGCAGTTTTTATAAATCAATACATAATAAATGAATGAATACAGTTTCCATGGATCTTTTTTGGAATCAGCATAAAAGGATTAAGAACAAAAAAGAAAAAGACTTCAGTAAAAAAAAAAGCTAAATTCCCTCTTGCATCAGGGTCCCCTCCAGTGTGCCCCCTTATATAAGAGTCCCTATCAAGAGTTCCCCATTACATCAGGCTCCCTACCAGTGTGCCCCCTTACATCTGAGTCCCCCTTACATCAGGACCCCCATCAGAGCCCACCTTACTTCAGGATCCCCTCCAGATTGCCTCCTTACATAAGAGTCCCTATTAAGAGTTACCCATTACATCAGGCTCCCTACCACAGTTCCACTTACATCAGGGTCCCCATCAGAGCCCACCGTACATCAGGGTCCCTTTATATCAGGCTCCCTAACAGAGTGCCCCATTACATCAGGGCCCCCATCAGAGCCTACCTTACTTCAGGATCCCCTCCAGATTGCCCACTTACATAAGAGCCCTATCAAGAGTTCCCCATTACATCAGGCTCCCTACCAGAGTTCCCCTTACATCAGGGTCCCCATCAGAGCCCACCTTACATCAGGGTCCCCATCAGAGCCCACCGTACTTCACAGTCCCATTACATCAGGCTCCATACCAGAGTCCCATTACATCAGAGTCCCCCTTACATCAGGGCCCCCATCAGAGCCCACCTTACTTCAGGATCCCCTCCAGACTGCCTCCTTACATAAGAGTCCCTATCAAGAGTTCCCAATTACATGCCCCCTTACATCACAGTCCCATCAGAGCCTCCCTTGCATCAGGCTCCCGACCAGAGCCCCCTTACGTTGAAGTCCCCATCAAAGCCCCCCTCACATCAGGGTCCCTATTACATCACGCTACCCAAAAGGATACCCACTTACATCAGTGCCCCCTTACATTGGGGTCCCCATCAGAGCTTACATCAGGCTACCCACCAAAGTGCCCCTCTTACATTGTCCTTATACAAGTCCTCCTTACATCAGGGTCCCCATCAGCGCCTCCCCTTACATCAGGATCCACATCAGTGCCTCCCTTTACATCAGGATCCCCACCAGAGTGCCCCTTACTACACTACACTTAGCACTAATGTTAGAAAGTCCATCTTCACCGGCCTCCAATCGAAGGAAGCACTACACTGACCAGCAACGTTAGAAGGTCCATATTCACTGGCCTCCAACGTAAGGAGGCACATCTTTAGTGAGCTCCAATAAAAGAAGCACTACTCTGACCACTGTTAGTAGGTCCTCCTTCACTGTCCTCCAGTGTAAGGAGGCACTACACTGGCCACCAACATTAGAAGGTCCACCTTCATTAACATCCAATGTAAGGAGGCACTACACTGACCATATACGTTAGAAGGTCCACCTTCGTTGACCTCCAATATAAGGAGGCACTATACTGACCACCAACATTAGAAGGTCTACCTTCGCTGACCTCCAACATAAGGAGGCACTATACTGACCAGCAACATTAGAAGATCTACCTTTGCTGACCTCCAATGTAAGGAGGCGCTATACTGACCACCAAAGGTAGAAGGTCCATCTTCACTGACCTCCAATGTAAGAAGGCACTACACTGACCACCAACATTAGAAGGTCCACCTTCATTAACGTCCAGTGTAAGGAGGCACTACACTGACCATATACGTTAGAAGGTCCACCTTTGCTGACCTCCAATGTAAGGAGGCGCTATACTGACCACCAAAGGTAGAAGGTCCATCTTCACTGGCCTCCAATGTAAGAAGGCACTATACTGACCACCAAGGTTAGAAGGTCTACCTTCGCTGACCTCCAACATAAGGAGGCACTATACTAACCACCAACATTAGAAGGTCTACCTTCGCTGACCTCCAACATAAGGAAGCCCTATACTGACCACCAACGTTAGAAGGTCTACCTTCACTGACCTCCAATGTAAGGAGGCCCTATACTGACCACCAAAGGTAGAAGGTCCATCTTCACTGACCTCCAATGTAAGAAGGCACTACACCAACATTAGTAGGCCCATCTTCACAGATCTGCATTGTAAGAAGACACTACACAGACCATCAACATTAGAAGGTTCATCATCACTGACCTCCAATACAAGGTGCCCTTCTACTAACCCCCCAATGTAAGGGTGCACACTACAACTTTCATTGTTTGAGTTTCTTTTCTATTATTTTTGCATTTCTTTTAATGATATAAATTATGGAGTGTGTGCAGTGCTGTGTTGAGGGCATAATGAAAGTA